TTTACCCCTTGACTGCGGATACCGCACACTGAAACGCAACTATAAAGTCATTATCGAAGTAAAGCAAAAAAACTCTGAAAGCGTACTCAGCTATAAAAAAGTGTTGAGGTACTCCGAGGAATTCCAGAGCATTGACTTTTGATGCTGTTTTTTCCTGACTTAGGCTTTTTTCTCGTTTTCTAGTTTGCTTTGATGTCTAGATGGCTTCACCACATATTCCCACATCAGAGGCATGTCAGAGGCTCTAAACAAATTGCCTCCTGGTTCGAAGTTTGCTCAAAACTGACGTTTTTGCTGCCAACTGTAACGTTGTCATGTTGATGTGATAGGATTGTTCCGCATCACTGAGCTGAGCGAATTGCCAAAAGCGACTATAAATTACGAATCCTACACAATAGTCTAATGAGGAAAGTTGGTAAAGACTTCGGCCTCAGTCACGAATTTGAGCTAGCGAAGCTAACAAGCATGTGTGCATCGAAAGCAGGAGGTCATGAATTTGAAATCTTTGAGTTCTACGTGAACGGGTAACATCTCTCAAAATTTCAGCCTCGCAGCTTCCCAGGCTCCCGAGTTAGCGGTTTCCCCGCCAAAACTTTCACGCGCTCGTACCCATGGCTTAAACATGTGTGAAGGTTAGTACCGTGGTCCTGGAGTAGCAGTTGGCCAAGGAACGCACAGGCAAAATTTTGGCGCTGGAGCTTGCTTGGGTGCCGACTTGAAATACCCGGATAGACACACACATACACACGAAATACATACACATGAACATACAACGCACGCATACCATGGATCATCACGAGTTTTCGCATTTGCATATATGCTAAAACGCGTAATAAAAAATATGTATTTGCCCCAGTCCAAAATGAGATCGAAATCACTAACTTTGCGCCTAATTATATACACATATATGTATGTAACTGTGCACAAGGCTTTATAGCTATACATATATATATTACATATAATTATGCATATATACTTTTTTTTAATATTTTTTTCCTCATTTCAGCACCGCCAAAATTTCTATTTACCTTCCTCAAGGAACCAACAGTCCGCTATATCTAATGGAAAATGGCACAGTCTCCTGTGGCTGGCAACACACTCCTGCATGTGGGAGAGGGATATAGTCTCAAATTGCCCCGTAACCACTAGATCCCCTTGTTTATCATGAAAAAGGAAAAAACGAAATCTTTAAAATTGTGAAGTCTCGAAAATCCCAGCTTATAATTTCTTGGTCCGTCTTCTATACAAATGCTTGCTTCTGGTCCGCGTTCTGCAGTTTAGGAAGGTTTACATCGCGCATAAATATTCCCCCTTTTTTCCGCCAAACATACCCCCCCCCCCTCTCCTCGTCCTCTCCAGTCCCCTGCCACGTTACCGAACGCTCTCCGCTGCAAACAATCCCCTCAAGAAATTGTGAAGCGCGAACAATTCTCGCTCGCAACTCTTTTTAATAGCAA